TCAAACGCGTCAATCACGCTGCCAAAATTACTATTCTAAAAGGACGTAAACGCGAATCTACATTCCGGCACTCGATCACTAGAGTTTATTGGCGGCACATTTAAATTTGTAAACAAACGATGGCGGGTTTGTAGCTGCAGCAAAGGGTTCCATGCGTTTCCCTTTTGCTAATCGAAATGTCTCTCTATTTGATTGGTCCTAAATCTGCATGACATAGGGAGAGTGCAGTAAATAGTCGGGCGTTGCTTGAAAAGGTTCAAATTCGAAAGGCCGCGTTCATAAATATTGAAGGTAATTCGGGGCAGGTGCGTGCCTGAAAAAATGCTGTCTTGCTACAATTTATCGAATTAAACGGAATTTTGACTCATTGGGTTAGTCATTCCTATAATTTATCTGCGATAAGATAAGTGACACTTAAAACCTATAATTATAGAGGCAGAAGCTGAATAATCCCTATAAATTTGTATATTAGCAGGGGATACTTAACACCACTATAACAAACGCTGCCAATAGCAACGTATTGAAGATGACAGTAACAAGATTGTTCACGTCACAAATAAAATAATGTACTTCAACGAGAGATCCAAACACAATCCGTATCAGATGATAACGTGATAAAGCTAGTGACTTACATTTATTAAAGTGAGTGGCATTTACCTACCTCATTCGGTACAATTTCATCCAAGAACGTGTACCATAAATCGCTAGGGTGTCCGATTGGATACTTTATATAATTCTCGTTCCATACCACCTACAAGCCGTAGTACCTAAATCCTTCAGGGTCGATGAACGAAAAATTACAGCGTGCGTAGAGGGGGAGAATTCTAACTTGATGGCTTGAGATCTTGTAACCTAAAAAGTAAGTTGAGCGAATAAGCTTCTCCCAGAAAGCTTTAATGTTTTACTTCTTCGCCCATATATTGGAATAAACATTCTCTAAATATGATGTTAAAGTCTCCCTGGTCGGGGAGAAAACGTTTGTTTATTAACAAAATGTCTGACGCCAGACAATCGCCTTGTACTCGTGCCGTCATGAGCCCAGCATTTCCTAGTCGCTTATATGTAATCCGAGTTGGAACTGTCGGCACCAATATGGATGATGAAGTCCGAAACTTGATCGATACCGACACGCCGCGCCGGCTGTACCATTTGTCTATATTGGTTTCCTAACGACACGTTACCTTACGTCACGTTCAAATCGTCAAATTATTGAAATACACACTTTTCAACACGTAGTTAACCCACCTTACTTTCATCTGACGCGCTCGAGTATTTCTAACGATCGATTTTTTTTACTATTCTAATAGCCTGCCCTATATCTACCTATATTAAGAGCTTATACGTGGTGGAGGTGCTCTGCAGGGTGCTGCAAGGCTTTATGTTAATCGGCCACGCTTGAGTATGTCCCAAAATCCCCTATTGGGTTCCCCTACTATACATTTTTTAGATAAATAAATAAATATGATTTTATGATTACGAATTCCGATGACAAAGTTCAAAACCCTATTTGTTATTGTTACATACGCGGCGATTCTAAACGTAAACAATAATTCCCTTCTGTCGGAAAAAAATATGACACTGATACGTTTAATTCATTTGTCCTTCACTGGATACAGTTATAATTTATTCGCGACACTAATAAGCTTACCCAACTGCTCAACTATTTTATCGTCTTTTTTTATATAATCAACCTTGTCTTTAGCATAAACAAAAAACTGATCCGTTCGAATTAATTCACTGCTGGATGTCAATTCATTTAAAAGTAAACGCATAGAACTGGCGTTTAAATTGCTTTAATAAAAATACCCGCAATCACACCTAAAAAAAAACGGAAACTTTTACTGTGGCAGACCTCGAACTAAACTATTTCGCTTGCTGTGGTAACCCAGACTCGGTGTCACAAACGCGATATAAAATAATTTTTATTAATTGAAAATCAAACAAGAAACAAAATGCTGCATTTCGTTAGAAGCTCCATAGGACATAATAAAAATGCTTTTTTAGGGTGGCGTTTTCGCCATCAAAGTACGGAATGGAGGAAGCTAACAATCTCGATCATATCAGCAGCTGCCCGTTATTAATACAAACTGTATTATAGCAACAACTTCCAATTGTGTGCTGTCTCTGGATATGGCAATATTTTCCGAAAGCCAATTTCCTCGGTATCCCACATTACATTTAAAGATGGGTAAGTGGGTTCGGGGAAAAGTTCTACCGGTGACTGATTAACGTCCAACATTCCCTCCAACTGTTTACAAATTACACAAACAGCACAACTTTATCGGTTCTTACTATTTTTCAGCATTATGGGAAAATGGCTTTTGTTAGTAATGAAGTTGCGACAGATAGTGATAATCGACAAATTCATTTAGAGTTAGAACCGCTGGGAAACGTCTACATAACAAAATCAATCATTCAACGTCGATTTTAAAATGATGAAATTACATTTCTACAAATAGAGCCCCTTTTTTGTTTGAGACAAAATTTAAATGAAGAAAGTTTAGTTTCTGACATTATCACCATATTTCCATTTCAAAGTTTGCAAAATGTATCTCCCCCACTAACACATTCGAAGTTTACGTAAACCGTAAAACATCCAAGTACAAATTCCGTGGTGAATGAGAGAATTTATTCCGTTAAAAAGCACAACAATGACTTTATTCACTTTACGCGATAAAGCTCTATGTATAGAAAGAAATTACAGTTTAGTATTAGGTTTTATGATAAAAACCGCTTCAAGTCTCCTTTTGCAACTTCTTTTTTCTATACTATTTGGCGTATAAGTGTACAATTTAAAGAAAATAGTAAAAGTAAATTGGCAAAGGCGCTATAGTGAACGGTCGGGATAATGTAGGGCGGTGGTGCCTTGAGCGTCCGGAGTCTTATATAATGAGCGTAGTCGGCGCGGTGGTCGACTTTTCTATGAGATCCGACGGCTTAAGGCAATGAGAAAAACTGACGGAGAATTCTATCCCGACACGTACCCTATTAATGTCACAAATAACATCACGGCTAAAGCTCTAAATCCATTAAAGTGTGTATCCCTTGGTTAGAAATCAGAACGAATTACGTGTTAAATAAATTGCATTAAGATATCAGCAGAAATAATTAGAGAATGTTAATTAGAATACACGACCGTAACCAGAATATAACTGAAACGGAAATTTTAATGGAAATCTCCTTCACTCCTCCCGATTTATTTCATTTCAAATTGAAAACGTCATTTTTAAATGAGCGTTTTTATTTATGCCTGAGAAAGATAAATCTGATCCGTTCTGAATGGAATCCGAGTTAGAAGTTTTTGCTGGGAAATTAAATCTCAACGGAACAATACGAACGTAGGAGACACGAAACAATATCTGCGGCTGTCGTCGATAGTTATAGATAAGGGGTGATTTGCGTTTCAGATTCAAGGGTTGATCGTTGTCGCACCTCGGGCGCACATGTACCAACACTGTAAGTCTTGCGACGAAGCGGACCTAATGAGAAGCAATGGGTGAAGCGCGGAAGGAATTGAGATATAGTAGGAAATACGGAACACGAGCCAACACAAGGGCTGAAACAACTCTACCATTATAGGAGAGAAACGCGTAATGACGAGAATGAAAGTGAGAGAGATTGTCGACAAAAAAGGAAAGTGATTTCGGAGCCTATCCGAATTAATAGCGAATGTAAAGTGAAATCTTTATTTATATGCAAATTATTGACCGCAGTGCAGATTGTGGGCCCTTCCTTTGTTTATTTCAAGTTGTTTGATTTGCTTAATGTGCATCTCAAGCTTTATTGGTCGTCATAAAATATTCCGCTTTATTGTCAGATCAATTCTCAATAGACCTCTTCCCTCAAGCTGCATTCGAATTCGTCCTAATTCTACAGTCAGACGGGAGGATTTCGTGAGATGAAAACCATAACAAAATTGAATTAGGAAACTTTCGGCTCCGTTAGGGAATAGCATCTAGTTTGCAGACCTTGCTCCTTTTTTACATATTATCCATATTTACCGTCATGACATACTCAATGTCATTTGCTGAATTGAGTGCGTGCTCGAATGGCCGTACTCCAGGATTATCAAGTAAGTAAATGAATGCATACACAACACCCAATTTAAATACGGATAGCAGCGTAAGAATTTAGAATTGCTTTTCAAATTTATTTCTCTGGCGCTGTTTGAAGTACGCACGTATTACTTTCAAACTATAATCACTCAGTTGGAATACGATCATAATCGCATCAAATTAATATTGCTGAACCGTAGAATAATTCTCACGCTGCTCAAGGAGATGTAGATTAAATTAATTTTGTAACCACATCTGCAAGGTATCAGGTGAAAATTTATCTTATAAACTTTACTGTTTCCACAATGTGGAAATTAAATTCTCAGCCCTATTGAACTGATGTAAATTTCAAAAATCTGTCACAAAAATGTGAAGGGAACAACCTTTACGGGTGCGCTATGGTGATCACCTGCGAGTAGCCTGACTATACGAACTTATACGGTAGACACTCTTTGGGGAAGGAGCGGCGATTAAAAATTTCGGTGTATAATCAAAGATAAATAGTTTCTAAGCGATTCGGTGCGTCTTAAATTTTATAGCTTGTGGTGTTAGCATCTAAAATAGGTCTTTGGTTTTATGTTGCATTAAAAGCGGGTACTGAAACTTTAATAACTTGGTATAATAGGGTTCTCTAGTAAACAAGCTCTGTTATGCAAAGAGCAGACGCCCTTGCGAGCGCTCTTTTAACGATGCATAAGATGCAAGATAAACCGGGAGCTATTGTTGCCCCTAACGAACCGATTATTGCAGTAATTACTGTTCGCCATAATAAAGTGTGGTCATCGTAAGTAAACGAGCTCTACTCGTCGTGACATCGCCCTTCCGGCGTATGGGTTTAAACCGCAATATCCGTCAGGTCGAACCCTTTAGCTAAATTTCGACTATCCAATCAATACATTCCCAAATAATCTCAATTCATTACTTTAATGTGTTATTTTCTTGCAGATGATTGGAGCGGCAATATTTGCACTGACTTTGTGGATGCGTTTTGAGCCTGGCCTTGAAGAATGGATTCAAAAGTTAGATTTGCACCAGTTCTACAATGGAGTTTACCTCTTGCTGGTGGCTGCAATACTTATGATGATTATATCGTTTGTCGGGTGTATTAGTTCCCTTCAAGAAAACCAGACAGCACTACTGATAGTAAGTTATGCCACTATACATTCTTGACATACTTGATCCGTCCCTAATTAATGGTCGGTCGAAGTTACAACTATATTTAATTATGAATTCCGCTCTAGGGCATATTTCAATTTAAAGTCATGCGAAGGATATTTATCATTTGCGTAGAAATTCTGACTATTACAGCAGTTACTTTTCTGTGACCGCTTTTATGTAAATGAAAGAGGTGTATATATACAACTTCGTTCAAAAACAAAGCTTAGAGTTTTAAACTTTCTTGTTTTCCTTGAATTAATTAAAGATATCTTAAATAAAATACGTGCCCAAATTGATTATGGCATAAGCTAACCGTTACATTCTTTGCTCTTGATTGTCCTTGCAATAAGTTCGTGTTTCAGTTCCCGTTGAATCAATGTACGGTAAAATAACCCCGCAACGAGTTCCCCGTTAAATCAAAGTTAAATTCTTGCGGGAATTTATTGTTACAAATGAAAACTTCTTCAATTTATTGTTCGCGTTAGGAACCGTTAAAGGATTGGAATCATTTACCTGTTTGCTTGTTGGTAATGCTACACTATTGATATCAATTGATGACTAGTACGGACAACATTTTCAGGTATATTTGTCTTATCCGTTATTTAGCAGCGGAAACTGACAAGCAAACTTATCTCATTTACTTAACGGTGTAGCTGTGTTTGAAAAGGATTTGACTGCAACTAACCCTTTTCAATGGGCCTCATGTTGCAAAGCGTTTCATGCCACGGACAAGGTTGTTACCAATTGAAAATACACTTAGAAAATGATCTAATATAAGAAACAGTGGTAAACCTTCACTGGTAGGTAACCGCCCCCTTGGATTGCTGTGTTAGGAGAATAAAATAATGGAAACGATATGGTAACATTTGCACTTAGGGTTAAATGAAATTTCCCCCAAAAAATAGTTAAAAAAGTTAATTATAAAAATATAACGAAAGAAGATAGTATAGTGATCTCAAGTATTATCCTTGACATACACGGTGCGGAAATTTTAAGCAATTATTATTATATTATACGGGGTGTCAATTTTAAAACTTGCAGTCGCCCATATTTTCCAAACTAACGAAGATATTGAAATTCGCGCAAAACCGTTTCGGGGGTATCGAGGGGGAACCAGAATGGCGTTATGAGTGACAACCCCCCACCTCCCTTAACCCCCCCTCTTCAAAAATCCTAAATGGCAACCCCATACCGGTGACACATCCTTGGAAAGCAACTGAAAAATGCTTTTCTGTGGCACCAATAAAGTCAATATTCATTAAAACAATTTAACAAAAATTTAATAATTAACAAAAAAAAATAAAAATTAAGCCATGCCTATGTTCAAGATTTGGTCGCTACATTCGAAGAAACGGGCTCTGTTATCAATAAAAAAAGAAAGCAACCAAGATTGCTTAATGAAGCAGCTCAGGTTAAAGTTCTTGGCCAATTTGCCATAAATCCCTCAATGTCAACATTTAGTTTTTTTTGTTAATTATTAAATGTTTGTTAAATTGTCTTAATGAATATTGGCAGGTGTGTTTTGAGCCGAACGTGCAGTGTGTTCCTTGAAACGCAGTTAAGGGTTCAAGAAATTTAGACGCACTTTAGTTCTATGGTAATTTTTTGCTCCCGTAATTACCTATGTGCAGCAACTTGTATTGAAAAAAGTGTTTGAGAGGACTTTAAAATGGGTAACAAATGGGGTCAAATTAGTGAAAATGAGCACAAAATTATAGCACAAGGTTTTTAACCCCATTGAAGTTGTAGAACTAAGTTGCAATCCCCAATGTAGATTTGCTCCTAGTGGTTAAAAGGTAATGGTATATTAGTCATAACCGGCTTGATGGACCAAAACTATGAAACATTCGTCATAACTGATATTGAATATGATTAACAGGTTGCATAATCGTAGTTCAATTTGGAAAATAGACACTGGGAAACAAAGATATAACAATTCTGAATTAAAATTAGTCATATAGAATTTATTATATCTGATAGTCCTGACCTGAGAAAATTGTGAAGGTAAAGCAAATGCCAGGAAGGTGTGTTTCCAGAAATCAAAAATAATAAGGACACAGTTTCGGTAAACCTAAACGGAAGGGCTTTACGGATTGAGTTCAGTCCATTTTTATGAACGGTGCGGCCATTAAGTAAAACGCGTATCTCGCTTGTGACAACGCGTCAAAGGAAAATTTATACACACGCATAATCGTGAGGATTTATAGAATGAATTTGCATAAATACAATTACTTCGGGCATATTTTTTAATAGGAAAGGAAAATCTGATGGAGGGTTTACAAAGTTATCAACTTATTTGTATGCGGAGCACAAAAAATATTGGACGTAGGTTCGTAGTACGATGGTCTTTTGAATATCATAACCGATCATTTCAACAGATTTCGAGCTTTCTCTTATAATAATCACAAAGCCACCAAAACCGAATCCTTTTTTCCCGCGAAACCGGAAGAGGGATGGCGGCATAACCGGTATAAGCAAAAATTTTAATTAAATAGTGCGCATGAAAGCAGGAAATACAAAGGAAATTTATTTATGAAAGTACAAGGAACAATCGGCTTTTGTAATCTCGAGATCCGTTATGAAATATACTTGAAAGTCGCTACTGTATTCAGTAGAAAGCTGTATAAAAAGCAGTCACTAACGCCAAATAAGATCTCCTTCTACCGAGATTTATCTTCCAAATACGGCAGCGTATGTGTTGTTTTGTGTTCGTAGTCTGGGTTTGACAAGATAAGCATTTGCTAGCAATTTACAATATTTCTTTGTTCTCTGACTTCAGCAAAGCAATCTAGGAAAACGGATCTGGTTGTTTTCCGCAAAACCAGCCACTAAGACAACCGTGAAGCTTACTCTAGGGGTGCGTAGTTTATCAGCGATTTTAGAAATGGGGTACACTAATTGAACGATTTTAAGCGCAACGCGTCAGCAAAGTTTTTAAGATGCGAAGTTTGCGGTGGTGTCACAGCCAAACACGTTACAGCCTCTTTTGAGTGAAGAACCTTGTAGCGAGCAATTCCTGCCGCAACTACAGAACAATACACTTTTGTCCTTTTTCTCTTATTTTCCACCAGTTAAAGAAACGTGCTCCGAAAATGATTACGTGATAATTTCTGTGTACATTCGTGCTTGCGATTCATTATTGAGCATTAGATTGTGAACAATAAATTCCAGGTCGAGATGTTAATTACATCCAACAAATTACTGCCGCTGTAAATTTAACAATTCCGGACGATATTACCGTTACAGTTAGGTAATGTCCGGAACCCGTACAGAGCGTTCGCTGAAATGATGATGTAGGTAACGGTCAAGCTCTTGCAACCCTTAAGATAATATATGAGTCGTTACTTTCACAATGTAGTTACTCTAGCCGAGACGCCAACCGTAAAAGTATTGATCCTTTATATACTAATAAAATCCGGAACTAAATTAAAATTTTAACTAGAATACCGTTTGTGGGCGCGTATTTTAATTAAAATGTCCCCGACGTTTTGATAACATTTTAAAGGCAGGAGTACAAGTCCAAATTATTATAATCCGATTTTCATTTTAATCACCTACGCAACCTTTAATTATAAATACAGATTAAATACAAAATTTAACTGTCAAGTTTCTCATAAGCCGACTAAAATCTGACCTTTCTCCCGAGCTTTGAACGGGTCAGTTGAGAATGCTTTTTGATGAGATTTTCATAAAACGAACCCGTAAGCTATTCTGATGTGAAAATTCATTTGAACAAACTTGGACACAATTCTGTTCTAAATAACGATATGTTTCAAAAGAATCCGCAGGAAAAGCAAAAGTATTTAATTAGGCATGTAAATAGGAAAACGTGATTCCGGTAATCCTCTTTGTGTTAATGTTTTGTATGGTTTTCCTTGATCTTGTACAGAACAGGAACGCTCAAACATTGAAAAAGGGACCCTGTTAATTCTGCGTAATTAAATTATTTTACAAAGCTTACGTTTAAGTTATATAGTAAAAGGTTTTGTATATATCTCGAAAATAAATTAAATTATCGCTAGCACTTACCTCACCAGTTTAGGAACAGTAGCTAAGATGGTACCGCGAGTTAATTATATATAGTTTAGGAGATGCCTGAAATAAAGTGAACGTTACTTTACGTACATTGTGGAGTATCACGCCATAAGGAAGTCTCCTTCGCATACCCTTTCGTGCACATTTCCTTTGATTACTGTATCAGTTTATTAGATAAAGTTGTATAGACCGAAAGCATTTAGCTGAAACGACGTAGACATTTCGGGCCTGCTACCACTTAAATGTTACACTTCGCTTCAGTATGACTGAAACGTATCTCCGTAATTTGCTAACACTTCAACACTTTTACTATCTGCCTTAACATTTCTACAATTTTTGCGCTTAACTGAGCATAAAAGAAGTAATTTGTGTATAATAAAAAAACATGGAGCTTTGGAACGACCCACTATTATCGATTCTGTGCTTGTGCGTTTGTGGACCAGCCACTATGACAAAACTTTGATATTCGATATAGTTTAATCAGAAATTGTTCCACAGCCTCAATGTACGGTATCTTCATTTCGAATAATGCACGGATCACATTGTTGTGTAAATGCAGTGCAAAATACGTGTTGTTAACGTAATTTTGGGCTGAGTATCGAAAATATCAATCAGGACAGCCTGTATATAACATAATTGAAGTTATTTCATAAAACTGGGGATTTTTGCAAACACAAAATTGGAAAAATTGATTTGTCATTTTAATGTTAGTTTTTTTATTGTAAATTCAGACGGTAATTGTTTAATTCTATTTCTTGTATTCAGTTTGTATGATAAATTTAAAAAGAGTAACTAAGGGAACATTTAATCGAAATTTTTCCGTGAGTTTAAAGTTTTATCTGGTCAAGTGTTGATACAAAATTGTTACGGAACAAGAATTAATCGGTTTTCCGACAAACGTGCGAGATAATCGATGCAGGTGTTTTATCAGTTTTGGCGACGTAGAGGAA